AAGGCCATTGCACAGTGGTCCAGAATGCAGATTTAGGTGGAATGATATGTTTTGAGCCTGAAATTGAAACTTTAGACTAAAAGTCTCTTCTTCAAAGTAACTTAAAATAAAAAAAAAAATCATAAAAATCAGGGCCTAACTATAAGAAACAACTGTTGTTTCTTATAGTTAGGCCCTGATTTTTATGACAATGAATTCTAGGGTGGTTCATATTATCATTAAAATTTAACTTTTTTGTTTGAATAAATTAAGATATACATTCTTCAGCAAAGTTATAGCTTTCAAGCAACTTTGTTGAAAACTACTTTCTTGTATCTCTTAAAATGGCCGATTTAGAGCTATTTCGTTGAATGAAGTTAGGGTGGCTCTAAAAAAACAGTTGTTTTGCTCTAGTTTTCTTATTTAGAATTTCTCAGCAAAGGTGTCTTCAAATAACTTTTAGATGTTTAGAAGGCGCAAATTTTTACTGCACAAAGCTTGTCAATATCTTTCGCCGATCAAGAGTTATTGACGTTTTAATACTTAAAATATGCTCTTTTCAAATGTTAATATCTCTGGTTGGGGCAAAAAAAAAAGTTTTTATACGACATTTGAAAGGGCGTATGTTATTCTCAATAATATGAAAAAATTGGAGGTATGTTAAAGAGTTTTAAAAGTCTCTACAAAATGACTTTCATGAGAAATTTCAAATAAAAAAGTTATTGGCAAAAGATGGATTGGACCACTCTGATGACAAATTATAATAAAATGTGCTAGTATATTTGTTTCAATATTTGGACATTTAGTGTCTTCTAAGAAGTTTTTGATCTTAAAAATTCACTTCTTTTGGTGTTTGCAAACGTCAGAGTGGTCCTCAATTTAGGGAATTTTTCAAACTGACTTTTTTGTTTTACAAAATAAAAGTAAAAGGGTCTGTGTCTAGGGGCACGAACGGAAGCTTGACGTAGGACCGCTAGTGGACGGAATAAATGTGAAGAGCAGTTAGTTCTTTTAATTGATCAATTATCTATTATCTCAACTCTTTCCGTTTTTTAATTGTAGGCGTACCAAATTTGTAGTAATCTTTTTCAAAGAGAAAGTTGATTAAGAGAATCAATTAAAATCACTTGTACCCCTGCTTCCAAGTTTGGTTACAAGATTACAACTCTGGAGAGCATTTTGTGTGGTCGTTGGGGGCTTTTGTATGAATATGGACAAACAAGCACAGATAAATTCTATTCCAACTCTTTACTGGTGTAAGCTTGATGGCGTGTTTAGTGTAGGTGACAGCACCACGGACTTCATTTTCCAGGAACACCTTCAGCACACCTCGTAGATCAGACCGGAGATACGGTTGACACCGCCACGGCGAGCCAGACGACGGATGGTGGTTATCTTGAAGAACTTTGCGTTTGCTTCTGAATATGGCGATGAGTGTGCAAAATATTACGCAATTCCATCCTCCCTATTCGCACGCGCCCGAGAATCGGAGGCGAATGCCACTTCGACTTGTTTCGTCTACTTACTACTCTCTGACGACTGTGCTGGGGAAGCAGCATATGCATGTAGGTAATTGGTGGATTTGTTAGTTAATTCGACGCTTTTGAACAATGCTGGACATTTACCAATTTTTCAATAGTTTCTTGTCAAAAATTCGGAAACATTCGGAAGCAATGTTATCGATGCGTAGCCATATTTCTGATCGATTGGTGATAAAATTATTGAAATTGGACCAGGGGCAGCTGAGTTATTAACGTTCAAAATCTTTCTTAATTTGTTACATGTTCTATTTTCGGTTTTCACAAAGTGTACCCCCATATAGAAATCAAAGACGTAGTCCTACGTCAATAACATGTAATGTTTGAAAAGTTGTAGCAAAGTTAATTGTAAGCAAGTTTGTTGAAGAAAATTTTTTTCTATCTCTTAACGTTCTCATTTTAGAGTAATTTTTCGGAGTTGACTTAGGGTGTTCCTGGAAAAAATAGTTCTTTATCACTAACTTTTTTATTTGAAGTTTCTCATGAAAGTCATTTTCTTAAGACTTTTAAAACTTTTAAGACGAATGTTTAATAGTGAAATTTGATGTCTGTATCGCTTCTAATAAAAAAGATACACCAAAATATAGTAAAAATATGAATGAATTCAAATTGATTTTATAAGAGATTAAAAAATAACATACGTCCAATTTTTTCATATTATTGAGAATAACATACGCCCTTTCAAGTGCCGTAAAAAACTTTTTTTTTTTGTTTGCCCCAAGCAGAGATATTAACATTTGAAAAGTGCATATTTTTAGTATAAAAACGCCAATAACTCTTGATCGGCGAAAGATATTTACAAGTTTTATGCAGCAATTTGCGCCTTCTTAAGATCTAAAAGTTATTTGAAGACATCTTTGCTGAGAAATTCGAAATAAGAAAACTAGAGCAAAATAACTGTTTTTAATTTATTCAAACAAAAAAGTTAAATTTTAATGAACCACTCTAGAATTCATTGTCATAAAAATCAGGGCCAAACTATAAGAAACAACTTTGTAGAAGAGACTTTTACTCTAAAGTTTCAATTTCAGGCTCAAAACATATCATTCCACCTAAATCTGCATTCTGGCCACCCTAACTTAATTCAAGAAAATAGCTCTAAATTGGCCAATTTAAGAGATACAAAAAAGTTGTTTCCAACAAACTTGCTTGAAATTAAGCTATAACTTTGCCCAAGAATGTATACCTTAATTTATTCAAACAAAAAAGTTAGATTTTCGATTTTAAGGGGTTACGCCACCCTAGGATTTTCAAAAAATCGATTTTTTTTACATATAAAGGTACTCTGAAGTGTCAAGAATAAGGGACAATTGGTTCCATGTCGAACAAATTAAAATTCCGAAAGTTATAAGCGAAATTACAAAACTTTGCATCACGCACCTGAATCTGTCCCTCAAACTTCAACCGCGTTTTTTTTTTCGATACAACATTTCTCTCCGCGGCCCACACGATAGCATCTGCAATTTTGACTCAATTTGATCTAGACTTTGACGATTGCATTCTCTGATTAATTATTATCTAGAGAAGTACATACGAACTTTTCAATTGATCAAAAAATGCAATTGTGGTAAACAATTTTAGAAACAAATTTCAGGCGAAAAAACTGATTTTTTGCAAAAACAAGTCCTATTTGCGTAAAATTCAAAAAATTTTCATCTCCGTATGTACTTCTCTAGGTATTCTCATATAAAATGAGAAAACCCACTCGTTTTTGTTCTAGGTTCATATTTACGACGAAGAAAGTGTGGGCCGCGTAACACTACACGGGAAGCAGTGGCAGGAACTCGCAGTGCTGCCAACTGCCACACATGGTTTCCCCTTATGAAAAATACTGTAAGCACCCCTAATTATGTGTACTATAAGCCCATATAAGTTAATTTAGTATGTGACTTTATTAAATAACAAAAAAAATAATGAAGTTGGTGCATTTTTCTGTATTCTAGGGTGGCGTAACCCCTTAATGATAATAGGAACCACCCTAGAATTCATTGTGATGAGGGCCTAACTATAAAGAACAACTTTGTAGAAGAGACTTTTAGCACAGACAAACAGACATAACACTCGAAAGTTGTTCATTGAACAAGCATTTAACGGAAAATTTAAAAGTATCGTAGTTGGTAGTACCACCACCTGTGGCGCGCATAGTCAATTCCCTTGCGTTTGACGTTTACACACTACCACCATCTGTTCAGCGTAGTGCCCACCACAGTGTACTCAACAGATGGCGGTAATGTTTTAGCGACGATGTTTTACAGTGAGAAATATTCAATGTATTATGTCTGTTTGTCTGTGCTTTTAGTCTAAAGTTTCAATTTCAGGCTCAAAACATATCATTCCACCTAAATCTGCATTCTGGACCACTGTGCATTGCATCAAGTCGGCTGGCATGTGCATGTCGGAATAAACTTCCGAAATTATTCAATAGAACTTCCTGCAATGCGCACTATTAAACCCAATTCACACTAGCCCATGACACATCCTATCCTACGTGGCATTTTTATCACATCACCACTTCGGTCAGCGCCGCCGGTGGTATACCGGTAAGCGTGATTGCCTCTCACTCCAATGGGCCTAAGTTCAATCCCAGTCGGTGCCGTCGGGATTTTCGGAGGCTTAACATCTCTGATCACGCCTTCCTTCGGAAGTAAAGCCGTTGGTCCCTGGTCTATGAGTTAATGGGTCGATAGGTAAGGTAAGGTATGGGAGCTGCCTCTCTGGCGTCGGTACTCAGTCCGAAAAACAAGATCGACGGAAAACAAATCAAGGGAAAAAAACACTTCGATCATTCATGCTAATCAACCAAGTTCCAGCCCCAACACTGCATCCTTAGTGCTATATTGATTCAAAACTGCCCCTTCGCTTTTACAAGACCCTGTGCACGTAAGTGAAGACAAGTCTTAACTGTAGTCCTTCCGCTTAGTGCCTTAAGTGGGATCACCAATTGCGGCAGCCAAGTGTATCATTTGAGGATAGCTAAATATTGAAGTGCATTTCAGGGAAAGCTTGCAACTTTAAAGTGTTACAAAGCAACCATGTTCCCCATCGGAGACTCTTTGTAGTGAAGAATCTATAAATAAGGAGGTACTTGATGATTTGCGTTTGTTCTTCTCAATTAATTTGATTCTTTTGATCACTAGCTTCATAGAGAATAATCATGTCCTAGGCATCCAAAGTTGGATTAGCCACTATAAAATCTCTAAAACCTGTTGTCAGTAAGCAGATCGCGTGTTTTTATCTCAAGTACTTCACATGTTCCATCGAATATTCCACCCAACCTGGAATGCCACTTGTTTATGCTATTTCAAGTGGTTGGGATAATTCACAAAGGTTAAAATACTATCGAGCCACAGAGGCAAACTTATCAGCAGAGATTAAGCACTTCACTTCAGTGCTCTCATATCAATTAATATAGAGGCGATAAACTCGTAAACTATTTAAGTAACAGCCGTGAGAGAAGTCAGTTTAAAGTTGTCGGTTGTTTCACCCAGTGCAAATAGTCTCCATAGAAAATGAATTTTCTCGTAGGACTTTCCCTTTTGTTCTGTCTTATTTCAATCGTTAGAACAGCTAGCATACAAAGCGGCAACGATGAAAACCCCGACGTCGAGCAAATGGAGGGTTCCAGTCTAAATGAAGTAATTATCGATTTGATCGAACAATTCAAAGCGATTATGCCATGCGGTATTCCTGACCTTGGGGTGCCTACCCTAGTTCCGTTTGAGTTAAACCACACAGCTTTCAAAATTGATCAGCCTGGTCTGTTGTTGTAAGTACTGAATGTTATGCAATGTACAGTTTAATAGTTTATAATCTCGATTTATTTTTCTTGCAGCTTCGACGCAGAGATCAACGATCTATTAATCGATGACTTGAATAACTTTGACATCGTAAACGTAGATTTGCAGTTGTTCAAGTTTCAACTAGAGTTCAGTTTCTTTTTCCATTCCATCAAAACGACTGGGCAGTATAAGGCAAAAGGAAAGGCGCTCAATTTCATTCCATTTAACAGAGGGGGTAAATTTGGCTTCAATTTCAATGGTGAGTTAAAATATTTTCCCTAATGATTTTTTGTTCTCTTACTGAAGTCCTCATTTCTAAGGCCTAACACTGACTGGATTGATCAAGATTGCATTGAACGGTGATAAACTCGCTATCGATGAATTCAAGCTGGGACCAATCGTAAACTCAGTGGATTCCAAATTTGAGCACGTATTTTTGCTCCCACTCAATACCCTCATCTTCAACAAAATTGTGGAGTCTGTTGTCCCGAATTTTCTGAGAGATAATCAAGAAAAGGTAACTTCGTTTTTGGAGAATCTCATCAAGCCCGAAATCAATGACCTTCTGGATGACTACACGCTACAAGATCTCATAGGGTTATTAGATGGCAGTAATTCAACCCTTCCAACTACTTGCTAGATAACTTCTTTAACCATTAACAAATACATTCATTAGTTGAAATCAACACGAAAATAAACTGTGGTGTCAAATAATATAGTCGAGTCGAAATAAAAATGTTTACTCAAAAGAAATGATTTGCTACTTTCTCAAGGATTATCCATGGTTTTGGAAACAAGGTAGATTGAAAGCTTTTGTCTTCTGCTCCTCTTTCTTTTGTTGCGCATTTCACCGACAAATTCTCGGTACAATCAATGTTCTTTTGGGAAATCTATTTCATCCCACAAAGCAGCAAAGAGCGAGGCAGCAGCAGCAGCAGCAGCGCAATTCCCTGAAAGAGGAAAAAATCGGAGAATAATCTGAAACGGGTAGGACGGCAAAATCGGGCATAACGAGAAGGACCAATTTAGTTATCCTGTTTCTATGTTTCTTTTTACAATGTTTCACCTTCACTGGCACCCCAAGGTGATGCAGTTCGAATGTTTTCGGTTCTGCGCGTTCCTGCTCCTTTGTCAACTGTTCACCGTGATGAGCAGTTTGAGTGAGGTGTCAGATGGTGTGGTATTGTTGGCACAATTGAGAGATTTTTCCCCGGTTAATAAGCGCAGTGCCTTTTTGCTTGCCATGCACGTGGATTTGGTGAGGGTTATAGGATGGATTTTTTTTTTATGATGTTCCGAGTTGTATGTGCCGGAGATTGAGCTCAGAAGCTCATCATTGATATACTAGGTGGCGAGTAGAGATAGTCTTAACATATGTGCATCCGAATATCTATAATAGCTTTAGCGTGGACTTAAACTAAAATCTCATAGGTGAATTAAAATCATAGAGTATACATTTTTTTCATCATCGACATCAATATCCGACAAATATAACATAGCACTAATGTTAACCAAGTTAACGATTTACATACTTGGAGATGCTTAACGTCAAATATCAGATGAATGGATGAAAGTATAGAGTTGACAGTTCCGTTATACACACTTAGAAATAACTAACTGTACAATTTTGAGTTTATTATGACTCAATGTTACGTCAAAATTGACGCTCGTATATGTCAGTCTCAGAGCACCTAAATTTACATGATTTTTTTTAAGTGTGTAGTACGACTGACTGTGTGAACATTTTATACAGAAAGTTAAAAGCAAGCAAATGACAAGTGATGTTGCTGTGCAATGTAAGTATTTTCGAAACAGGAATGACATGTAGAGGTCAAAAATCGATGTTGGACGCCATTTTGGAAACCAAAATGGTGGCCATCGGTTTTAAATATGCTGTCAAATACCCAGTAATATGAGTGTTTTCAGAACGGGGACGACGTGTAGAGGTCGAAAATGGATGTTGGACGCTTATTTGAAACCCAAGATGGTGGCCTTCGGTTTTATAAAAACTGACAAATACCCTACAATATGGGTATTTTCCAAAGTCGGACGACGTATGGAGGTAAAAAAACCGATCCTGGACGCCATTTTGGAATTTAAAATGGCAGCCATCGGTTTTAGAAATAATGAGTGTCCCATATCAAATTACATCACGGAAAAAAACGCTGTAGAAAATTACCTACACGGATAGAAATCTCCTTAAACCTTTTGGCAAATTTATTTTGCTGATTATTCATAAAATGTATAAGTCAATAAGCAGACACCTTGCAAAACAGTTGATGAATATCATGTAAAGATGTCAAATTAAATGTATAAGCGGTCACACATACTTTTTATGCATTCTTATAGGACAAATGTGGTTTGTGGCTGATGTTTTGGAAAAAAATTATAAGTGAAAAACATGAATAAAATAATTGATTTTTGTTTCGAGTAGTTGACCGATCCTTTTTGAACTTTCAGACAATAAAATATAACCCTTTTGGCATATTTATTTCATTCAACTTCAATACCATAACCGTACGCTCGCACCTTACGCTTAGCTCCACCAATTTGGTTCTGTACAACATCTGGCTGCAGCTTCTTCTGTACGGAAACCCACTTTTTCTTCATGTCTTCCTCAGATTTGACCTCCTTGGGATGCTTCCATAGTGCCTGCTTCATAAGCCCAGTATTTTTCGATGGGTCTTAGTTCCGGTGCGTTGGGGGTGGGTTCATGTCCTTGGGTACGAAAGTGACCCCGTTGGCTTCGTAGAACTCCAGGACAACATTTGAATAGTGGCACGAAGCTAGATCCGTCCAGAAGATCGTAGGGCCCTCGTGTTGCTTGAACAGAGGAAGCAGACGCTTCTGTAGACACTCCTTGAGGTAGATGTCCCCGTTTGCAGTTCCGTTAGTCACAAACAGCGCACTCCGTTTGCCACAAGAGCAGATCGATTACCAAATCATGTATTTCTTGGCAAACTTTGAAAGTTTCTGCTTCCTTACATCCTCCGGAACATCAAACTTGTGCTGGGCGGTGAAGAACAAGAGCCCCGGAAGCCCACCTTGACCGAGGGGGGCGACTCTATCTACCATGCAGAAAAGATTGTGTTTTGCTGTGGCTAGCTGCACGCACGCTGAGTAGATAGAAGGAAGATTTATGTCGATTTTGAAGATTTCCTGCAAAAAAATGAAGCACGATGCAAGTAGATGCGAGAAATGAAAGATGATTTTTCAAAGATTGATTCGCTAGTGTGAGATTTTTTGAGCATCTAGAATTGAGATTTAGATGTGTCACCCCCCTCGACCTTGACGTAAGTCTCATCATCCATGATGAGACAATCAGGCTTCGTCAGCATCTGGGTGTACAGTTTCCGGGCCCGTGACTTTCCCACCGTACTTTGCCGTTCGTCGCGATTTGGAGCCTTCTACACTTTGTACGGATGCAGTCCCTCCCAGTCCTTGGCTCTCTGAACGAAAGACTTATACAGATTCAACTTTTTGGCCACATCCCTGACAGAAGCATTGGGATTCCGCTTAAACGCTTTCACGACACGCTTGTGATCCTGCTCACTAATAGAACATCCATTCTGACAGCATTTCTACTTCCGTTTGATGCTTTAAAAAAAAACTGACAGCGATAAAAATACCCAAATTTTCAGGAGAAAAACCCAATGGGTAATTTTCTACAGCGTTTTTTTCCGTGATTCAATTTGATGTGGGACACCCTTTACTGTCAAATACTCAACAATATGGGTACTTTCGGAAAGAAGACCACATGCAGATGTAAAACTTCGATATTCGCCGCCATTTTAAAATCCAAGATCGTGGCCATAGGTTTTTGAAAAAACTGTCAAATCCTAAAATATCGGGGACGACGTGTAGAGGAAAAATATTTATGTCCGCCGCCAATTTGGATCCCAAGATTGCGGCCATCGGTTCAGCAAAAAAAAAATCAAATACCATACCAATATTTTTTCCTTAAACCAATGGCCTCCACCTTGGATTCCAGACATTGATATTCGATTACTACACGTTGTCCCCGTTCGGATAGCACCCATATTGTAGGGTATATGACAGATTTTTCTTAAACCGATGGCCGCCAACTTGGGTTCCAAATTTGCAGTGGACATATATTGCACATTTCAGACCAAACTGGACAAATATGCGCGTTTTCACTTATTAAAAATTGTGATGAAAGTTCGAGTTTTCGTCTAATCGTCTTTGTGTCTTCGGAACACTTATTTCTTATCATACAAACAATAAGTGCTCCGAAGACATAAAAACGATTTGTCAAAAACATGCCCTTTTATCACATTTTTTGCATTTTTTGAGTAGTCTAGTTTCAGATGCAATCAGCAATATTTTCTACCTCTGCCGATGGCCACGATCTTGAACTCCAAAATTGTGGTGGACATCGAATCATCGACATCGGCATATTTTTGAGTATTTGACAGTATTTCTAAAACTGATGGCCACCATATTGGATTCCAAAATGACGTACAACATCGATTTTCGACCTCTACATGTCGTCCTCGTTCCGGAATACCCATATTGCACAGCAACATACGGGGTACACAGATAAAAATTCTGAATTTTAATTGTGATGTAAACATTCATTCACGTAAACTTAAATTTCATTTCACGCAGCCGAGCAACTTGTAAACAATGTTGTTTACAAATATGGGCTTTTGTATACAATATTTGCTACATTGCATGAAATGTGTCAGAACTTTACATGATATATAATGTAAACTTATATGAAATGTGACGCTCCATTTATGTGCATCATATTGAACAGAAATTTACACTACTTGTTCGAACTGTGTAAGCTTCGATACATAGCAAATTCATAAAGTTCACATGCATACTAGCGCCTTGTAGTGAGATAGTTCTGAGCTAATATGAACACCATCCGGAAGACCATGATCATAAGTAATATGATAGTGAAGCGCCTCTAGTGGCGTAGTTCCCAAATAAACCTGTATCCAATGGTACCCAAATCAGCTACTTTGTTGACAACAGTACAGTTTTATATTTTGAAATTTATGAGATAATCCATCACAGCCCTATTAGTGGAAATCCCATAAGGTGTGGGTATCCTAATTCGGCGTACCTTATTCATGCAACCTTTTAACCGGGAATACGCATTCCTGCTTGTAATTTCCACATGCTTTTAATAAAAACATTGTTGCAAGACCTTCCAGCAAATAAATCCATGGTTACAATGACAATGAAATTAATTTTTTTAATTGCATTTATTTTTACGGGTGCTACCTAAAGCTTCAATAAATATAAACAGCACATTTCGGTGCTCAACCTGAAAAATTTCTACCTTATTTGACTCTTATTCCTCTTCGATCCTTGTTTGGACCCTACCCGAGGTATTTCTGCTAGGATATCGATTTGTAAAATTCTTCTTAGATCCTTCGGATTCTTATAGTAATCTGCTTGGAAGTCGACTTGGAGAAACTTGGTTCTGCCACCATGGCACCTAAGCGCAAAAGAAAAGGGCAATCCTTGATCCCCTTCTGATGAAATTCAATTGAACAAGGAATTTGATATGCTTACGGATGATGAGAATGATCCATCATCCAGGCAAAACTCTAGTAAACATTCCCGGTTTTATTGCTAAAAATGAAAAGGTTCCCCCTATTGTTGTAACCAAATCCGATTTCCATGATCTTCGCAAGGAACTTTTGCGTTTTCACTTCAAATTGGCCCTCGGGGTGAATAC